GAGGGACCGAAATGTCCATAGGGTCCAAAGGCCCTGTTGTAGAGTATTCGAGAGATTTGGGCTTGGGAGCGCTCAGGCAGAACCCCTGCTGTGTGCCCCTGGGCAAGGCACTTGGCCTCCCCGAACCTCAAGTGTGCTCCTCTGTAAAATGGGGATCATGGACTTGATCTTACCTGGTCGAGGTGACTCTGAGGTGGGACCACGCAGGCACGAAACAGAAAGAGCTCAGTAAACATTGTCTGTCTCGGAGAGGTCACCGTTTCTCCGGTGGAGGCCCAAGAGCGCTTGGTTTTGGTTCCCGGGGCTGCAGGGGACTGGAGTGAAAGGTTATGGGACTTCCAGAGTGAGTGCAGGCTAGTGGGAAATCACTGCAACAAGGCCCGCCTCTCTGCACCCTTTGCGGGGAGGGTGCTGCTGTGGCAACAGGTGTCTGATCCTCCAGTGTCCGCTTGGGGGGAGGAGGGGGGAACTTCTCGCTTGGGGATCACCTCGAAGCTGGAGCCCGGACCAGAAAGCTCAGCAGCCTCGCCTGCCGTCGCTGGCCAGCCCGCCCAGGCGGCTCTTTGCAGGGTGCTGGGCCACCCCCTCGGCTCCCCGCAGTACTGGGCGATCAGCACCCCGCAGGTGCTGTGGCTCGGGCTGGGGTGGGAGGGGGGCAGTCGGGCTCCCGGGCTGCTCCAGGTAAGCCCCGGCCCTGGCCGCCGCACACGAGGCCACGGCCCCCACGCCCCTGCCTTGGAGACACCGAGCTCACTTCACAGCCGGCCCACCCGTGTGCCTGAGGCAAATGGTTGGGTTCAAATCCGCCCGCATCTGCCGCCAAGACCAAGCAGGTCCGACGCCCGCCAAGCCGGGGAGTTGAATCGCTCCCAAAGGACGAGCCCAGGCCCAGCCTCACCCTGGAGCTAGAGGATGCGCTGGGGCTTGCTGGTCGCGCGGGCGACCCGGGAGCCCAGCGCCTCACCCGGGCCGCCCTCCCCACCCTCCCCTCCCCTCTGATTGGCCTTCCTTCCCAGGGGCTGAGTGCCCTCACAGCCGGTACGTGGAGGGCTAGGAGGGCCCCTGGGCCCGGGGCAGCCTCTTCACTCGCACGAGGCTGGAGCGTGGAGCACAAGGTCTGGGCACCTGGCAGGGTCTGGGGCGGGTGGCTCGGGCTGGCCCCCAGGCAGCGGGAGCACACAGGAGGCCCTTTGTCCGGAAAGGAAGTCGCAGGCTTGTACCCAAGTCACCCCGACGAGTGCAGAATGGGAGAGGAGACCCCAGGTTCGGGAGCAGGTGTTCAGAGGTGGGCCAGTGCCTGCATTTCCGTAAACAAGGAAACTGGGCAGCTCCTTCCAAGAACCAGGGGGCGGAGGGAGGCTGCTAAAAGAATCGCCGGCAATTTCCTTCATAAAAATGCGATCTGAGATCATTTGATTTCCACTTTCACTCCCCCCTGCCCCCGCCCCAACGCACGCACTGTCTCCAAAGACACTCAAATTGCAGCCATATGGGGCTAAAGTAATGGGAAGCAGTTACCTTATTTCCTGCAGAGGCGGCGCACTCCAACCTGGCGGCCTCGGCCAAGGACCGCTGAGCGGTGGGATTAAGAGCGGGGCGGGGGGGGGGCTTTCTCCTGCTTTGAAAGTTTGTTCTGTTTACGCCCGGGAGGTGCACGTGTAACTTTGAAGGGGAGAGGCGGTTGTGTGGAGGGAAGGAGGGAGGTGCGGAGAGCTCAATGGTGGAGGAAGAGAGAGGTTCAGGAAGAAATGTGGGGAGTGGGCTGCCTCCCCTGGGTTTCTAGGACGTGTCCGGGGCTGACCGGTTTGAAAAGACCGTCGGAAATCCTCCAGAGTGCCTCCATCACCGTCCCCACGATGGTGCCCTCTCCTGGCCCACACAGGCATCGCTGGGCGCCCACCCAGCCGGCCCCCGCTCTGGGAGGCTCTAGCCTACAAACCCATTTCTCAGATTGCTCTCTCTCAGCCTCTAAACTGCCAGGAGCGGGGGTGTGGGGGGCAGGCCAGACCGTCCAGTGACCAGCGTCTCCACTCTGAGTAACTCTGCTCTCTCGCAGACACCCCCTGCCCCCCCCACCGTGTTGCTTTCCTCCACAGGACTGTGTCTGTCTGGTGCAGACAAGAACCGGGCTCGGTCTGATCGTGCGCGGGCTGCCCTTTCTTTCCTTCTGGACCGAGTCCCACCTCGGCTGTGGGCTCTGCAGGAATTCCCGACGCCTGCAAACCCGGACGCCTCACAAGCGGTAATTTTGTTCAGAACAAGCGTGTTCACCACCAGACATGAAGGCAGGCAGAAAAATGCAGCGGGGAAGGAAAAAAAAAAAAGAAGAAGAAAAAAGACTAAATACCCCTCCAGAGGAGGGAGCCATGCAAGGCAGCGCCAGAGTTTTCATTCCCCCACTTCACACTTCAGAGGCGTTCAGGGCAAACAGAGAGAGAAGGGGAAGACAAGCAGAAGGCGAGGAAGAAGAAGGAAGGAAGGGAGGCAGGCAGGGAGGAGAGAGGAGAGAGGAAGGAAGGGAGAGGAAGAAGGAAAGCAGCGAAACGCCAGGAGGGAGGAGGAGGAGAGCGGAGTTTCTCAGCGTGAAACTGAAACCTTCGACCTCTGCACGCCCCAGGCCAACTCCGGGGCTGTAAAGGCACCCAGCGCAAACACACTCCCGGGGACGCGGCCCCAGAAACCCCATCCACAGGGAAACCGCCGCTCTTTGCGGGCGCAGGAAAGCTTGGGAGGGGCTGCGGAGAGGGCGGGAGGCGAAGCGGGTCTGGTCCTCGGCCGCCTGGGGCGGCGCCCTCCCTCCGGCCTCCGAGGGGGCCCTGGAGCCCGCGCGAGGAGCTCAGGCGGCCCGAGAGCTGTCGCCCTCCACGGGCGGCGGATTCCAAGAGGGGGCCAGCGGGGTGTGTAGAGCGACCCAGGCTCAGGGCGGAGGGTGGCTTTCTCTGGGCGGGGAAACCAGACACTTATAGGCGGCTGAGACCGACTTTATTTTTACTGCCCAAACTGTTGGAAAGTATTTAAGCTTAAACAGAAACAGCTGTATCGCTGGCACCGGCCAACGAAACTATTTGTTACCGGGAATGACTTTTTATGATGAAGGACGCGGCCGTCGGCGGCCTCTCGCGGGCGGCCGACGCGGGTCGCGGGGGTGATCTGGGCGTCGCCAGCTCGGTGTTCGTTAAGACAGACCGGCCGGGGAGATGAGACTGTTCCCCCCGCTCCCACCTTGTCAAGTTTGGGAACAAGGCCAAAACCCGGAGCCCCGCGTTTCCCGGGGAGGGGGAGGGGAGTGGGAGAGAAGGTGGGCTCCCAGCCCCGGTTGTCCTGCGGGTCCCGGACGGCGCCGCGCCCGCCGCGCACCTAACTTGGGGCAGAAGTCCGGCTTTCCGCTCTGGGACCCCTGGTCCTCGGAGTCAGACTTCTTGGCTCGCCTTTGCGCGCTTCCTCTCTCTCCCTCCCAACTATTCCCTCTGCAAAGGGAACAGCTTCCACTCCAGTTTATCGTCGATGTTTTAACTAAATCGTGGGTCCCAAGGAATGGGCGCTGTGACTAGCAGCTCGAGCGGCAAGAGAAGAGGGTCGGGAGAGCTGGGCCCCGACTCCGCCTCGGGCTGCTGTCCCGCGCCGCCGCCCCAGCCACGAGTCACCGCAAGCTGAGCTAGAGCTTGTGTGCCCGCGCGAGGCATCCGCGGCCCAGCCCCGGTCCCTGGACCCTGCCGTCTCCGCTCCCGAGTCCCTCGCACTCGGCTCGCGCCGGACCCCGCCAAGTCCCCCTGCGCGTTTTCTCCCCGAGTGAACGCGGCACACGTCGGGAAGCACCCGGGACAGGAAGTGTGTGGCTCAGCCCCGCAGGTCGCCCGGGTGCAGGGGCAGCGGGACGCACCCCCAGCCCCGCGCCCCAGCCCAGCTCCAAGCTCCGCCTTGTTGGTTGGTGGTCGACGCCTTCCCCCACCACTTGCAGGCACCGGGCAGGGGGCGGCTGCACTGGGGCTGGCGACGCTCCGGCCGGGACCGGGCGGGGACGAGCAGCGTGGGCCCGCCGCAGGGGTAGGTGGCTGCGGGCGCCAGGAACGGGTCGGGAAGCGGGAAGACGGGGCGCGACGACCCCCGCAGGCTCCCGGGGCGCGGGAAGCCTCGGGCAGGACCGGCGGGTCCCCACTGGGTCTGCACTCGGCTTCCGAGCCGAGGGGCGAGCAGTCGAGCCCAGGCCGGCTCGCAGGACCCGGAGGGTGGCCGAGGGCAGGGCTGCGCGACAGGAGACCGAGACACAGGCACATTGATTTGTTAGCAGGATGGGACTGGCGGCGGCGGCGGCGGGGGAGGCCGTTGCCATGGAGACCGAAGGTCGGACGGGAGGCTCACGGGGAGGGGGCGGGCAAGAGGAGCGGGCGAGGGGCGCGTCGCCGGCTCCCGGGGTTCGGGCGCGGCCCGCAGCGCCCCAGCACCTGTGCATTGTGCATTGTGCGGCGCGGGTGGCGGGGGGAGGGGAGGGCGCGAGTGTGGGGAGTGGGGGCGGGGCGGGCCGGGGTCTGCCGAAGGGGCGGGGCCTGGCTGACACCGCCGCGGGGGTCCCAGCGAGAGCTGTGGGGGACGCTGAGCACCGGAGGGACAACTTGGCGGCGGGGGAGGGGGCCCAGGCGAAGACACAGGGAGAACGGCCCCCCTCGCCAGCTCCGCAGACTGACAGCAGCCGGGCCGCCCTCCCCGCGACGTCACTTCCGGCGTCGGCCCCACCCCCTCGCGTTCTGTCCCTTGAGTCGCCTCGGACTCCGCCCCCTGGCGATTGGAACGCGGGTCACGTAGCAACGCGGGGGAGAAAGGGAGAGGGGCGTGGCTCGGTGCTTGCCCAATCAGCTCGCGGGGGAGCAGACCCTGTCCGCTCGGCTTTAGCAACGTCGTTAGCAACACGTGGGGCGGGAGGAAGCGCTGGGCGGCAGGGGAGGGGGGAAACCGAGAGCTGGAGGGGGCGGGGAGGGAGCGAGAGCGCGGGAGGGGGAGGAGAACTGACGTAAGCGGGAGAGTATTATGGTCTGTCGTGCGCTGGCTGCTGCTTTTCTGCTCCTGGTAGCAGCCAAGGGGGGAAGCGGCGAGTCAACATGGAGCTTTCAGCGGTTGGGGAGCGGGTGTTCGCGGCCGAAGCCCTACTGAAACGGCGCATACGGAAAGTAGGTGCCCCTGGGCCTTGGGCCGAGGCCGGCCGAGCCCTCCCCTCTGGGCCCGGGTTCCCTCCCCCTGCTGCAGCCCAGCTTCCCTTCCCCCAGGTCCCATCAGCGGCCGCGGCCGCGGCGGCAGCAGCGGCTCTGAGCCCAAGCGCTTTCCTTAGACTTGCAGCGATGCACAGATTGCATGGGTGGGGGGCGGGGTGGGGGGATGAATGCCGGTGCATGCACTTTGTGCAGCGTTTCGTGCAGGGGGCCATGCGTGCAGGGGGTGGACGCGTGCCTTTCGCGATAGGATTTCACGCATTCATTTGGTGCATGCATTTTTGCATATATTTCTTGTGTCCTCCTCAGGCGTTTCTCCCGTGCACACACGTATTCTCCCCTTTGCATCCGCAGGGACGCATGGAATACCTCGTGAAATGGAAGGGCTGGTCGCAGAAGTAAGTAGGTTATATGCAGTTCTCAACCCAGACTGTTATTCGGGAGGTTTCTTTCTTCCTCTTTTTTCCCTTTATGCTGAAATACAATGCAATGCAACAAGAAAAGTTACAGACACACACACACACACCCGCTGCTCTTTCCCTGTTCCCGGGACTGACGCCCACTCCTTCCACTCCTTCCTGATCCCTCTAGGTACAGCACATGGGAGCCCGAGGAAAACATCCTGGATGCACGCCTGCTCGCAGCCTTTGAGGAAAGGTACAGGCTCTTCCAAGACTCAGCTTCTTTTTATTTATTTATTTATTTACTTATTTAATTTATTGACTTTAGAGATAGGAAGGGAGAGGCTGGGAGGGGGAGAAAGAGAGAGAGAAACATTGATTTTTGTTGTTCTGCTTATTTATGCATTCATCGATTCTAGTATGTGTCCTGGCCAGGAATTGAACCTGCAACCTTGGTATATCAGGAAGATGCTCTAACCAACTGAGCTAACCCGCTCAGCTTCTCACTTAAGAGCAGGGAGAGGGTGGTTTCTCTCCAGCCTGGCCTGGAGCTCCACCCAGTGTCACTGCTCACATGCCCCCTTTCCCACCTCCTGCCTCCAGGGAGCGAGAGATGGAGCTCTATGGCCCCAAAAAGCGAGGGCCCAAACCCAAAACCTTCCTCCTCAAGGTAGGATGGCGTTGTCTGAGGGCGGATTGCAGTGTTGCTGTGTCAGTTTGTGGGATGGGGGCCCTGAGGGCTCATGAACCAATGGGGTGTCCACACACTTTGCTTATTTGTAATCTAGGAGGGAGTCCCCAGACAGGCTGTGGACCAGGTCAGTGACTGTGCCTAAGGGGTGTCTTGGGGGGAGGGCCTTAGTCATTCAAAAATTCCCACCCGCCCCACCCCCAGCCAATCGAAATAGATGTATAATCAAATGCAAGCAATGTGCTTGCTCCAAATGGCTGCTCCCAGACCAACCCTCTACCCCTTCCCCAGACCACACCACCCCTAAGCCCCACCCCTACCCATATAGAAATTCTGAGGCTTTGGAGGGTGAACCGGGAGGCTGGCCGGAAGAGGGGTCCTGGGGGTTTCATGGGCGGGACCCTGCTCCACTCTTGATGCCACTTTTCTCCTCCAGGCCCAGGCCAAGGCCAAGGCCAAAACGTACGAGTTCCGAAGCGACTCTGCCCGGGGCATCCGGATCCCCTACCCTGGCCGTTCGCCCCAGGAGCTGGCTTCCACTTCCCGGGCCCGAGAGGGCCTTCGGAACATGGGTTTGTCCCCGCCGGGGAGCAGCAGCAGCACCAGCAGCACCTGCCGAGTGGAGCCCCCTCGGGACCGTGACAGGGACCGGGATCGCGAGAGGGAGAGGGACCGTGAAAGGGAGCGGGAGCGTGAACGGGGTGCCAGCCGCGTGGATGACAAACCCAGCTCGCCTGGGGACAGCTCTAAGAAGAGAGGCCCCAAGCCCCGCAAGGAGCTCCTGGACCCGTCGCAGAGGCCCTTGGGAGAACCCAGCGATGGCCTGGGAGATTACCTCAAGAACAGGAAGCTGGAGGAGGCCTCTTCGGGGGCAGGAAAGTTCCCAGCAGGCCACAGCGTGATCCAGCTGGCCCGCAGGCAGGACTCCGAGCTGGCTCAGTGTGGCGTGGCCAGCCCCAGCCTGGCCGAGGCCACAGGCAAGCTGGCTGTGGACACCTTTCCCGCCAGGGTCATAAAGCACAGAGCCGCCTTCCTGGAGGCCAAAGGCCAGGGTGCCCTGGACCCTGGTGGGCCCCGGGTCCGGCACGGCTCAGGCACCCCCAGCTCTGTGGGAGGCTTGTATCGGGACATGGGGGGTCAGGGGGGCAGACCCTCCCTCATCGCCAGGATCCCAGTGGCCAGAATACTGGGGGACCCAGAGGAAGAATCCTGGAGTCCTTCTCTGACCAACCTGGAGAAGGTGGTGGTCACCGACGTGACCTCAAACTTTTTGACCGTCACCATTAAGGAAAGTAACACGGACCAAGGCTTTTTTAAAGAGAAGAGATGAATTGCTGGGTGGGCAATTCCGGGACAAGAGAGCAGGAGAGAGAGTGAGAGCGCAAGCTTGGCATAAAGGATGCTTTTGATTTCCAGGTGGGAGGCGGCCCTGCGGCTGGTCCCCTCCCCACCTCCACACGGCCCGCCCCCCTTCGTTCCTCCTTCCTCCCTCTCAGTTTTGGTTGGAAGATTATCTCTAGAGTTATATTTTCTATTAGATGTAAATATGTTATTTAAGAAAAAATATCTAAATATATATATTTCAACTCTTGAAGTTGTTTTATTTAACGAGGAGAGAGAGAGAGAGAGACGCAGTGTGGTTTAGTCGGGGCAGACAGGCTCGCTTGGGGCAGGAGGGGCCCCTCCGCTGCCCAGGGCACTGGAGGGGCTGGGGACGTGGGTAGTGGGCCTCTGGTGGCGTCTGGAGGGACTTAGCTGGCCCACGTCGCCCCTCCTCCCGTTTCCCACAGCCCCAAGGCAGACCCCTGGAAACCAAGGCAGGACCCGGATTTTTTCTCTCTTCCCATTGGCCGCCCAGGCTAGCAAAAGGTTGGCTCCCCAATCAGAAAAAAGGAGGGTGGGGTCAGTCTGTTTTTCCCTTTTTTTTTTTTTTTTAAGATTAAGAAGTCTGTTAAGGGGGAAAAAGTATTAACTTGAATCATTTTTGCGTGTGACTTTGAACGTGAAAAGTCGCGGGTGGGGGGGAGCAGCCGACTTCCCCCAGGACCACACCAGGAAATGCACTTTACGGAGATGTGTGTTACACACGCAGACCAGATCGTGTGCGTGTCAGTCATGTGGATAAAACCTCCCCGTTCCCTCCATTCCTTTCTTTACTCCACAGAAAGAAAAGAAACCCAGCGAATCTGTTTACATTCCCGAAATGCCAGGATAAATTGGGAGGATTGCATGTCAGTGGCCAGAGCCGGAGACAGTTGTTCAGAGAAAAGTGTCTGGGGGTGGACCTTCCCTCTCGCGTCCGCTAGCTGCGCCAGAAGCGGACACGGTGGCCCCCATCTCCCAGGAAGCGTTGGACTCGCCGCCCTCCCTCGCGGAGGGCGGGCCGCCAGCTCCCGGACCGATGCACGGCCCCACAGGCCCACCCGGCGGACCCACGGAGGGAGGCGCGGCGGCAGGCGCGGCTGCAGCGGGGCTTCGCGCCGCGGCCCTGGACGCGGCCTGGCTGCGAGCGCGGTGGAGGGTCTGGGCCCGGGGCTGGGCGCCGGGCAGGACTCGCGTCCCGGCGGCTCCGCGGGGCGAGGGGAGGGAGGAACGAGGCGAGGTTTTCATCCAAGAATGCGCATCAGAACTTTTGCTTTTACCTCACTCCCCCCTCCTTCTTAAAAGCAAAAGCTATAATTTATAGGCCTTTTCGATTCGCGGAGTGTTCTCTATTTGAACTCGACTTCAAACTCCGCCAGAGGGGGAGGAGCGGGGGTTGGAGAAGGGACGGCCGCGGCGGGGGAGGCCCTGCGCGGAGGCCGGCGGGTCCCGGGCGCCCCCGCCCCGGCCAGCTCGCGACCACGCCGCGCTCCAGGGACGCAGAACGTGCGCCCCGCTTGACTCAAAAGCACAAATCGGTTTCCTCCCTCCCTTCGAGGACTGAGCCGCGGCCTCCCCGCCCTTAAAGGGCCAGAGGAGATGCAACTTCCCAGTGCTCGTCGAGGGAGGGGCGTGGGGGCTCCTGGCGCCGGAGGAAGCACAGACTCGGGGCGAGCGAGAGGGGGAGCCGGGACGAGGGGGCGTTCGCGGCTCGCTGAGGCGACGGGGCAGGACCCCCAGCCTCGTCGTCCCCCTCACTTCTGTATTCCCTCCTCCAGCTTCTCCGCCCGCCTCGCTTCCCCTCCAGACGTTCTTGCCTTGACAGAGAGGGGGTGAAAAGGAGTGGGCCCGTGTGCTCCACGATCTTGTTTGGTTTTGAATATTAAACTGCGCCTATAAAGAGAAGCCCCCGAATGGGGATTTTTATCTGCTCACGTTTGTAAAACTGGTATTTTAGCCTTTGTATAAAGAAGCGCCGTTGACTGAGTGTATCTATTTAAATGTCGACGCTATTTTCAGACACTTCATGGAAGGGACCTGTCTGGTGTCAAGTGGACGGTGACTCGGGGCCCGTGTCTATACCTGGCTGCCGCCGGCCCTCCCTCCCTCGCTCCCTCGCTCCCTCCCTCCCTTTCGGCTGACTTCACCCTTCCCTCCCACCCCCCTCCCTCCGGCTGGCCTGGTTCTGCGCCCACCGGCCCTCTGTCCTGCCGTCTGTCCGTGGCTTGTGTGTCTCCTTCGCTCGCTCTTGCGACGCTGACCTGGGGGGGGGGGTGGGCGGGCAGGGGCCCGGGGCCTGGGGCGCGTGGCTGGAAGTCCGAAGCCGCGCCGGACGTGTTGGGTTTACTTAAGTCTAAGATTTTTACAAGTCTCGGGTCGATCTCCGCCTCAGCTCCAGAGTGAAGCCGCGGCACCTGTCTTCTGCAGTCGTGAATGTCTGTACCCAATGCCGCTTTTTACGTGTTTAAATATATACTTTGTAAATAGAGACGAGTCTCCGTTTTATTCCTTTTTTTTTTTTTTTTTGGCCCACTGGAGCAGACCGAAGAGGCTCAGGGGAAGAGAGGACGCTTCCCTCCTCTCTCATTACCCACCCCACCCCCCACTTTCGCCTCCAACAGCCTGGGACCCTCCAGTCCTCCAAGGCCCTTTCCCCAACTGGGGGAGCTCCAACTAGGGGGAGAGGGAGGGGGCTTGGGAGGGAGCAGGGTATGGCCCTCTTTCCCTCCGGGGCGGGGGGTGGGTTGTGACTTTCTTCTCTTACCTACTGAACTTCTCTGGGACCGAGCAGAATTCGGGGGCACCAGGAGAATGGGCGCGACCTCTGCGCCCCACCCTTCGGTCTGGAGGGTCTCGCACAGCGAGCCCTACCCCCAGGCTCGACGTCACTGGTCCTCGACGCCCGGGTTCCCTGCCGTCGCGCTCCCCGGGTGGGCGCTCAGGCCTGCTCCCCAGGACTGTCGTCGGACCCGCTCCCCAGACCCAGCCGGCCTCGCCAGCACCCCCCGAAATGCAGCGCCTCGCGCCTATTGATTGAGGAATTGAATTCTCGGGTATTGCTAGGCAACTGGCTGCTTCGAGCTGGCGCAGAGCGAGCTGATGTGATTAGTGAACCCGGAGCTGCCGCGGCGCAGCCTTGCAACCCCCCGCGAGCCCCAACAGCCTCTCGGTCCGGCCCCTAGTCTTCTTGGGGGCCGGAGCCTCCAATGTTGGGCTTGGGCCAGGCCGGCCTGGGAGAGACTAGAACGCAGGGTGGGGGTGGGGAATTCTGGGCCCTGGCTGGCCCTCGTGGGGGCGGGGTTGTGAAACCAGAGTGGAGGAGCGCCCTTGGGATCCCCAAAGTGGCCACGGCGCGGAACCCAATTCCACCCCCAAAGCCCCCATAGATGTCACCCCACGAGGAAGCCCAGGTCCGGGCGCACTAGCAGAGCCCCAAGGGCGGGCTGAGGGCATCGTCCTTCCCCCGCATCTCCTAACCTTGGCCCACAAGTCACGACCCGGGCCTTGGTGGAGCTCTCCCCGCCACATGCCCCAGTTCAGTGGCCAGTGTGGGGGGCAGCCCGGGCTCGAGGGTGCGGGGGGCAGAGCGTTGAGTGCCCTTCGGTCGTGAGGGGCCCACGCCCGCCCCAGCACAGTCAGCGGGCGAGGGTGGAGCGGGGTGGTCTGCTACGGGTCACAGCAGGACGTCAGCCCCCAAGCCAAGGGGGCTGCCCTGCTGAGACTCCCTCCGCCGGTGTGGGCTCCTGGGCGTTGGGGCGGCACAGTGGGCTGTGCTTAGGGAGATGGAAGCCACCGTCGCTGTGCCCTTTCCCCGCTTGGCCGGCCACCACAGCCCCTGGCTTTGACCCGGAGCTCCTACCCCGGGTTTCCGTTCCCTGGGCGGATTCTCGGAAAAAGCGCCCAGGTGCGGAGGCCTCAGGCGGCGGGGCCGCCCGGCACGGGGCCGCTCCCCGGCGACCCAGGAGGGCAGAGCCGACCTGTGCGGCCGCTGCTAGCACGGAGCCCGGCCCCGCACACACGCTGGTTGCAGTGAAATGTTTATGGCTTTTCCGAGAGCGTCGAGTACGGTGCCTTTTTCTGTTCCTTCCGTGTTTCCAGCGCACGGACCCTAGCCGAGGCCTTGCGCTGTGCACGCAAGGCCAGACGGCGGACATTCCTACCCAGCACTTTGGGGGCTCATACCCTTGACCTCCTCTTCTCATCGAAAAGTCCTCCAGGCCCCGGGGGAAGCCTCGGACCCAGTTGGAGCCCGAGTCAGGGCGCTCAAGGGCTTGCCCAGGCTCCCCCGCGGGCGTCTGGCCTCGGGGGAGACTGGGCATAGGGAAAGAGGCCGTGGGCTGTGGCCAGGGTTTTCTCCCAGACACTTGGGAAACAAAGGCTGTTTAGGGCCTTCTTGGGGCGGTTAGGGTGCGGGTCCTGCAATTCGGTTCCCCCGCCCGCCCCCCCCCACCGGCAGCGCACAGCCCGAAGTAGGGAACTTGCCCGCGCGTCCAAAGAGCCGGCGGCCTGCAGTTGGCGGGACGCGCGCGCCCTCTAGAGGCGATGGTCGCAGTCCCGTTCCCGGGGGCCCACCCCTCCCGGGCCGGCCCTCGTCTCTCCGGGTCCCGAAAGGAGAAGGGAACACCTCCTCCCCCTACCCGAGAGCACGCTAGAGCGCGCACCCCCGCGGCGCCCTCCCTGCAGCCAGGCCCTCGAGCCGGGAACGTGGAGGTGGCGAAGGCCTCGTCCGGCCGGCCGGATCCCCGTCGTGGAGCCCGATCGTGCCTGGCGCTTTCGGACTGAACCGGGGCGGCGGGGGGAGGGTGGGGGCGTGAGGGTGTGCTCTAGGCTGAGCCCTCCGGCCCGGTTGGGCCCCTTGGCAGCCCGGCCGGTTCTTCTGGGAAGGCGGCGGATTAGGCAATTAGATCGGCAGCGCATAAAACTAACAAAGGCGGCCGTGGGCCGGGCCCGCACCCGTCTGGCCTAGGCTCTGGAGAAATTACTCCGAGGAAAGCCACAGGGGTGTCGGCAGGGGGCAAGGGGCGGCAGGCAGCGCCGCCCCGACTCCGCTGGCCTGCTCCTTCCCGGCCCGTCCCCAGCCCCTTTCCGCAGCTCTCAGACGCCCCAGGACAGGAGGGCTGGGGGTGTCCCGGCCAGCCTTCTCCGAAACAAAACAGCTCCGGCCTTCGAAGGCGCAACAAAGAACACAGGCCGGCAGCCTTCGCGGTGAGAATCTGATTTCCAGCTCCCAGCGCCGGGGCTGCGTGTCCAGCTGCAGCGAGAACCTCCCCCTGAACTGAGACGTTCAGGCCGTCTGCCCAGCCGGCTTCCAACCCGCCGCGGCCGCCAGCATCTAGGCCCAACTTCTCACTTGAAAGGGAGCGGATTCTCCCCGGAGGCTGAAATGCATGAATAAATTCATGCGGAGGGCGATGCAGAACTTAAAGGACCAGGGGAGGTTATTTCGTGAGCCAATCACCTCTGCCCCGAGCCGAGGGTTAGGCGTGGCAGTAGCCCGGAAGATACAAAGCTTCTTGTGCTTTGCGGCAACTCCTCTGGAATTTCATAGCCGCGTCCTTCTAAAGTGTTACCACATGTGGAGGATTCCAGGGGTTGAGTGGCTTCCCAACACGGGATCTTTGGGTTCTGGGGAGAGGGGAGGGACTTTGGGTTGTTCGAACCCCAACCATCCGTTTCTGGGAGGTCTCCAAGCCAGTCTACGATGTGTCACAGCATCCCCGGCCCCGACCCACCGGAGGCCAGTAGCAGCAACCTGTGCCTTTGCTCAGGAAAAAGTGTTTCTCCGCACCCCGGGGAAGTGGCTAGGCCGTCGTCCCCTCAGCCTTTGTTTTATTCCGCCCTTTGGCTCAGTCGTGTGGACGTTTTTGGCCTCCAGGAAGAGATCTGTGTTCCCTGGCCCCACTCAAGGCACACGCCAGGCTGACAGGTTACAGAAAAATATTTATTGGTGTACTAAAAGTTCAAAAGACAAAGGTCTTCTCACACATTTGCCAATGTCAGTGTTCCCCCGCAAAATAAATTAACATCGGTCTAAAAGTCTGCAACCTACCGCTAGTGTTAGTTTCCCAAAAATACTAGAAGATGCGCAGGAATTTTTTAGGTGTGCGTGAGCACGCATCGGGTCCTCTAGGCACGACCTCTCCCCTCCTCCCACCCCCTGCCCCCGCGCCCCGGCGGGCTTCCTGGGGGAAGCATTTCCTCTGGCGGTCGGTCCTGTTTGCACGTGGGGGCTGGGCTGCTGTCCTGCGCTGGCAGCGGCCTTGGGTTTCCCAGGGCAAGCATCCACTTTTGTTCTGCTAAGCCAACAGCCGCAGTTTAAAGCAATTAGAAGTGGTATACATAAGTAATTTTTTTTTTCCCTAATGAAAAACAAATCAAGCCAGTCGTCAGCACCGGTGGAAAGCCCTGGCCCTCCCCCCAAGGAAACCTGCAGCCAGGCCCACAGCCCTCTTAGGTCAGAACTTTGAGTGTGTCCGAAACAAGGAACACTCTTTTTGGTACCAAAAATATATATACATACAAAATACGCCGAACGCTCTGAAGAGGACAGACTGGCCACTTTCTCCCATCGGGCACAGAAGCGGACACAACAGGACCGAGACACCTACTCAATGTGCAGTGACCGCCCGTGTGGCAGGGACCCCGCAGCACACAGGCCGTGGGGCCGGTGCCCGGACACGCATGCACACGTAGCAGCAAAGGAGGACTTTTGTGTATTGGTAAACACGATGGCCAGCCCCACACATGCGACCCCACCCCAGCCAAGGCCGCCATACCTGCACACGCCGGAGTGCACACACGCACCCATGCACACACACACACGGTGCTCGGAGTCACAAGCACCAAGAAACACACGGGACGAGGTGAGGAGGCGGAGAGGCTGGGAGTCAGGGGCTCGCGGGCTCAAACTTTGGGATCACGATGGCTGGTAAACAGAATGGTGCCAAGTCGTTCCCGGAGACCTGGCTGCTGGTGATGACGTCGGCCCGCAGCCCCTGGAAGCCTAGGGTCGCTCCGCAGGCCTGGAGGGAGCCGCAGCTTCTAAGGCAGAGGGGTGGCAGGCGGGAGGGGCAGCGGGACTCAGAGGCTGTGGGCACTGTCCCTGCCACAGCCAGCGTGGTGACCACAGGAGACCCAGAAACGTCATGTGGGTGCCCCTCAGTGAGGTCCTGGACACGGGCTGTCCCCAAAGGCACGCTGTTGAAAGTGGTTCGGCTACACAGAAGCCATGCTTCCTATTTGGCGTGGAGGGCGGGGGGGACTGGGGCCCTGCAAGTGGGACAGGCCCCACCCTCGGAGGCCACAGCCCACTGAGTGAGCCTGGGCCCTGCTCCCCTGCAGTTAAGGCCGTGGGGACAGAGGAAAGAGTCCCACCCTGGCTGGCCAACTGTAACCAGTAACTGAAGTGCCCCCCAAAGCCCCCCATTTTTTTGGCTTTACAAATACGCACTGGCCCCCCACCAAGGTGACCCATCTCTCTGCCCCCAATTCTGATGCTGGTCACTGCACGAGGCAGCACCCCCGGACAGCCAGCCGGTGGGTGTGTGGTGGTAGCAGGTCTGACCTTTCTCTGGGCTCTTGGCCAGGTGGGTCACTGATTTTGTCCCACTCCCCAAATGCTACAGGGAGCCAGCTTCTCAGCTGGGAAGGACACGAAGCCCCCGGAGGTGGGGAGATTGTCAGGGAAGGTGGCACCTCTCCAAGGGTGGGGACAGGGCAAGGCCACCGCATGGCCAGTGGGCAGGGGCCGTGTGCCGGGCCAAGGCTGGGCCTCGGCGGTCCGTGCCAGGGGCCTGCTGACAGCCAGTCCCACCTCCTCGTCCCGTTCCCTGAACTCAGAGGCCGATCAGGTCCGACAGCTCTGGGGTGGAGCCCTCCCGGCCTAGTGGCACTTCCGGGTCGGCCCCCGGGGCCCGCAGCTGTCCGTGTGAACCAGGGTTAGCTGGCATCGAGGCAGGTTCCCAGCCACCACCCCCTCCACTGCAAGACCTGTCTTTTTACATTAAGGCCACAGCCCTCAGCTGTCAGTGGCGGAGGACAGACACAGCAGGTCCCCTTGCCTGTACCAGCTCAGGCGACTCTGAGGGGCAGTTGCAACCAGGGAGGCCTGGCTGGGCTCCCCTGCCCCCCACCCAGCCCCCAATACACTCTGTCGCCCCCAGGGGGCAGAAGAGCCACTCTGCACCAGGAGAAGCGCCGACCCCCTGCCCTGCAGGTAGGTAAGCAGGGAGTGTGAGGTTTGGCTCCAGCCCTGGGCAGCTGCCCGGACTCCCTGAGGCCGGCGGGAAGCAAAGGCCCAGAGGTAGGAGTGGGGCCGGGCCAGGCCCTGCAAGGCATCATGGTGGCGCCCTGGCCAGGCCTCACAGGCAGGGCCGGGGTCCAGGGAGGCTTTCTGAGCATGCTCTTCAAGGCCACCCGGCCCCCGGAGACGGTGTGGGGCGCGGCCCCTCTGGAGCAGGCCAGAGGCCAGAGACGGGAGGGGAGGCCCTGGCGGTGGCGGCGGCCACTCGGTCAGTAGTGCCGCAGGTTGAAGAAGCCCACGCTGGTGGGGGACTCCTTCACCGTGACGGTGATGAGGTTGGCAGTGACGTCGGTGACAAAGACATGCTCGATGAGGCTGCGGGGGGGCTTCCAGTCCTGGCTGGTCTGCACAGACACGGACAGGTTCTGCTTGGCACCGGGCGGCGAGGTCGAGTCGGGGTCCGAGTCGGAGCTGCTGTTCTCCTCGCCGGTGCTCAGCTCCAGCAGCGCAGCCGCCTTGCGGGGGTCGCCCTGGGCCCCGGGCCCCTCCTGCCCTCCAGGAGCCACACAGGCCTTGACACAGTCCCTCTTGCCTGCAGGGGTGGGCGCAGTCGCGGCCCTGGACGCCAGCTTCTCACTCTTGCTGGCGTCTGTCAGCACACTGGCCCCGCTGCCCCCGGCGCCGGCCCCTTTCCCAGTGCCCGGCACGGTGGCAGGGACGCCCTTGTTGGCCGAGGCATGGCGGGCGACCATGCCCACCCCAGGTGTGCCGTTCTTGACGCTCTGCAAGTCTAAGACCTGGAGGCTCAGCTCCTGCGTGGGGGCAGGCTGGGGGCTCAGGCAACTGGCCGGGACCTTGCCGCTGCCGTGGACGTGCGGGGGCCCTGCCACGTTCCCCGCTTTCTGCTCCACCGCCCCGCTGCCGGGGGCCTTTGGGGCTTTGCTTCCTGGGGGACTGAACCCCAGCTCCCCCTTCTGCGTCCTCACCTTGAGGTCCAGCCCGAGGCTGCACTTGCTGGCGGCCTGGGCCTTGAGCGCCAGCCTGCTGGCCGCCGCGGCCTGGCTCTGGCTCACGCGGTTCATGTAGTGGACGATGGAGCTCTGCCAGCTGACGCCGCCCCGGCCCGGGCTGCCGGCCACGCCCTTCATCAGGCCGGCCAGGTTCTCCGGGGTGGCCATGGCGCTGGGGCCGCCGCACGTCTCCTTGGCGTGGGCCTTCAGCGCCGCCAGGCCGGCCACGGGGGCGCTGAGCGGAGCGGGCAGCTTGCCGGAGGGCGCCCCCAGGTCCTTCCGGGCGGTCTTCAGCACCCTGGCCAGGCTCACGGGTCTCCGGGCCGCCTTCTGCTCCGGGGGCAGGGGCTTGCGGCCCCGCTTCTTCCGGATGGGGTCCTTCAGCTCGGGCTTGGCCACCAGGATCTGCGCCTTCTTCTGAGGCACCGGGTGGGTCTCCCGGCTCCTGGGGCCCCTCTTGGCGTCCAGGTCGCTGTCGTCCTCTTCATCCGAGGAAGACGAGGAGGAGGTGGAGGACGAGGAGGAGCTGCTGGACTTGCACTTGGAGGCGGCGTCGGCGTCCTGCGAAGACAAAGGGGAGGTGTCACCCTTTCCGCGGTTTGGTCCCCGGAGTCCGGAACCCACGCTTTCCCCGAGGGGTGTCAGGCCCCTGGAAGCCAGCCCCTCCTACGGCTTCCAGACCAGAGGCAGCCGGCCGAGGGTGGCTTCTCGCCTCTCTGGCCCAGAAAAGGCGTGTAAGGGTCCCTGAGGAGTTTCCATGAAATGCAGCTACAAGCAGGACAAAGAAAAACGGGCAGAGGGTGTCCGTGCAACGAAGTCAGAGCGACAGAGAGAACCGCACACGGCACCCAGACAGCGTCAGCTTTTATGTGTGTGTGTGTGTGGGGGGGACACACAAGCGCAGCTGCAGCCCCCCTGCAGCCAATTCCAGAAGGGAAATTCGGAGCAGCGCCGCCTATTCGCCCCCCGAGGTGGAGACTCGGATGGAGGCGTGCACAGGGCTCTGCGGCCTAAGGCAGGCGGGCGCCGGTTCCGACCTCCCCATTTCCAAATCCGACCCCAGGAACCGTGCGCACACAGGAACACCACCCACTGTCCCCTGTCTCCAGGGTGCCCCCCGAGAGCTAAGGACACCCACCTCTCTCTCAGGTCCCCGTGCCGCTGGCTGCCAACCGGCTGACGGGACTGAACGCAGAGCCTTCCCGGCCTCCCAGGAGGTTTTACGGAAGCGACCACGCTCTTAGCCACAAAATGTGGTTTTAGGGTCCTGGGTCAGGGCCCCCAGAGCCCCTGCTGCTGTGAACTGTTGGGAGGGGGGCGGTACCATGGGCTCCAGGTAGGGGGAATCTGGGGGCTGCCCAGTTAGCTGCACCTACTTGGCAAACCTGAGCACCTACTGTGTGCATGCTTCCTGTTCCCCATAAGCCACTGCGGGTGACAGAAAAAATGGTCAGCAGCCCTGTAGGATTTGCTACCCAGTAGAAAGGCGTGCAGGATGGACGGCAAAGAACAGGACACCAGCTGGGGGTGGGGGTAGGGGTGCTGCAAGCTCGTTTTTGCCCACCCCCCCTCCAGCCCCGGCCAAGGACTGAGGGGCAGCAGGGACTGAGTCAGAGGCCAGGGCCTCACTCCCCAAAGCCCTCCACCCTCCACCCCGCCCTGAGTGCCAGAAGGCAAGCCGCCACACATCAGGGCTGCCCCCGCCCACCTTAAGCTTGGAGTGGCGGCCACAGGAGGACATCACCGTGTGCTTCCTCGGCCTGCCCCGGGGCCGCTTGCCTCGCTTCCGGTTCTGCACCTCCTTCTCGTGCTCCCTGCGGACAGTCACCAGTCAGGGTCCCCGACCCTCCTCCCGCCACGTGGAACCCTAGGGCTTCCGCCGCCCCCCACACGCCAGCCCGGCCCGCGGCAGCCCCTCGTGGGTTTCACCGGGTGGGGGTCCAGACCCACGTCCCCGCAGGTCTGGCATGTCCACCTGCTTCGTCTGCGCAGAGCAAAGAGAGGTCAGAGAAATGCCAGCACAGCCCGGACATGGACAGGTCTCTGGGTGTCTCCGACCCTCACCTCGAACAGCCCGGTGCTGATCCCGGCCGCCTTCTGCAGGCCGACCGGTTCTCTGGAATTCTAGAGTATCCCGGGGAGTCTGGGTGGTCCCATGGAGCACTCCCCTCATTTCACACTGGGAGTCCAGGGCAGGGAGTGAGGACCGGCCCCCCGCCCCCCACCCCCAGTGCCTGCAACAGAACCCCTCCGGTCTGAGGAGCACGGTGGGGAACCAGGGGCTTCAGTCCGGCTCCGCACTCCAGCCCTCCCCCAGCGGGCGCCCCGGCCCGCAGTCCCGCCGGGTCTCCCCTTCCTCAGGCCCTCTGCTCCCCGACTGCTCTGGTGAAGCTCCAGGGGCTCCACAGGGGCCGTGGGGCCAGGAGAGGATCTGCAGTCCGCCCTATTTGCGGCCTGCACTGCAGACTGCCGCTGGGGAAGAGGACCTACATGGACGGGTTTCCTGGTAATTCAAATGGGCACCCACCCTCCCACCGGGGCCTGGAAGGTGATCTCCTAGAGAATCCAGTTACCGCCACCAGACAGACCTAACCCTCCCAAGCAGCCCGCCCCGTCTCCCGAGAGGACAGCAGCGCCCCACTGGTCTCCCTCCTCCCTGCCACCAAGATGCTCCTTCCTGGCCAAGGCCACACGCCCACACCGGGCAAACCCACCGCCAGCTCCCAGTTTCCAGGGGGACCTTTCTGGCCCATGGGAGAGAGCAGAGCCCCTGCCTGCCCAGGTTCCTCTCCCCCAGGGTGTAATCCAGACCACCCCATCGTGGCTCAGACTCCTCCGCCCCCGAGACTTTCACCAGCCCGATGCTCGTCCTCGGTGCTGTGACCAAGAGTGGAGCTGCGCACGGGCTCCCCGGGCCCGAGTGACAACCCAGGCGGCAGGGAGTGAGCGAGGCTGCCAGGCTTCTCCGGAGGCACGGGCAAGCCCAGGCTCCCCTCCTGTCCGCGCCCTGCCCAAGGACCGCCCTTAGTTCCGCACGGGTGTCACCGCCCTCTCAGGAGACCCGAAATGCCCTGCTAGACAGAAGGAAGCAGGGACACAGCTTGGCCACCAGGCAACCAGCCAGCCAGACTGACCCCACCAGGGACAGTGTTTGAGTAGCTCATTGAGTCGCCTCTGCTGACACGGCGACCCCCAGCCGAGTGCCCACCCCTTTCCCCGCCAGGCGAGTTCCGGAACAGCACCTCCGGACTCCGGAGCCCGGGTGCGGCGCCCACCCACTGCCAGATGCTCACCAGCCCTTCCTCACGTCTCAAGGGTCTCTCTTAACCCGCTTCCTCCCTAAAAACACAAAGGACACCTAGCACTACATAAGCGCCCTGGCTGACGTGACTCAGTGGACTGAGTGCCAGCTTGCGAACCGAGAGGTCGCTGGTTCGATTCTTGATCAGGGCACGTGCCTGGGCTGCGGGCCAGGTCCCCAGCTGGGGGAGGGTGAGAGGCAACCGACTGTTTCTCTTGCACATCGATGTTTCTCTCCCTCCCCTGCTTTCTAAAAGTAAGTAAATAAATAAACAAAACAAAACTCTGCCCATTTAGAATCACACAAGCTAATCTGGCCCCCGAGACCAGCCAGGGGCCGCCGTGGTGTCGTCGTTCAGGACGGTCTGCTTTGCAGCCACAGGACAAGCACCGTTGTTGGTACCGAGACGCCACAACCGGCCCAGCGCTGTGCTGTGTGTGCCAGCACCCTCTCTGAGCCTTCTCTTGCTCAACAGCACCCTTGCGGCAAACCCGATGCCTTCGTTTTTTATCAGTCCTGTCTGCAGAAACCGGAATTGTTCACGAAGGAATCAGGGAGGTTCATCTCGGCAGGTGCAGCCCTCGGGAAGACCAAAAAGCAGCCCTGTCCTCAGGTCTGGACGCACACAGCCCAGGCCGGCCCAGGGAAAGTGGGGGGCTCCTCCGGGCCCTGGAAGCTGGCTCCACCTTCACGGAGGTCCCAGCAGAGGCCCCGGGGACAGCTGCTATGGAACCTCAGACCACAGCCCAAGCTCAGGACCCTGGTGCGCCAGCACCCCTGCCACCCACGAATGTGCCAGAGCCTCCGCCCCCAACAGCACCCCCTTCTCCCATGGCTGTCCCGCTCTCACTTCTTCTGGAAGGCCAAGAGCAGCCTCGGGTCCAGTATATTCTCCTCCGGCTCCCAGCTGTTGTGTCTGCAAAAGCACAGAGCAGGTCCCAGTGAAACGGCAGCCGCTCCAGCAGGAAGCCAGCCCCTGCGGACGGCCGAGCGGCCCAAGGTCCCACGCTCGCCCAGGATGAGCTCCCAGAGACAGACCTCTGGCCGGCAGCATCTTATCTCCAGACTAGCAGGGAAATCGCTACCTCAACTCCCCAATTAACACACGACCTCGGGAGGGCTCTCAGTCTCCCCCTGGGAGGAAAACAAATCCCAACAAAACGGAAAGTGGCAGAGAGAAGCCCCCAAAGCCTGGCCCGGAGCCAGAGAGGGAAGGGAAGGCTGTCGGGGATGCTGGGAGGGGGAGGCTGAGGGGCACAGAGCAACGCAGCCCAAAGACTAAGAACGTGGCTGGCGTCCCCGGCGAGCGCGGGCCGGGGCACCGGGAGGGGAAAGCAAAGAAGAGTATGGCCCTGGAAGAAAGGGGAAACGGGTCTTCGAGAGCGACTGTAAACAGAGCCCCCTCCGGAATGCCAAGTCCCTTCCCTCCCATTAAAGGGGGGGAAAAAAAAGCAAGCTCTGCATTCATCAATAGACAGCTCAGGTTACAGCGGGGAAAATATGGACAAGAGGAGGGGGTCTCGCGAGTGCGGGGAGGGGGCGCATGCAACAAATGGGCGCGGAGGAACGCGCGGCGCAGGAGGGAAGCGGGCCGGGGGCTCCGGGAGTGGTCTGAGCCGCGACCCGAAGGGGAGGCCGGCAGCCCCGCACCCCCCAGGTTTGTAAACAAAGGGCCACCCCGGGCAGCCTGGGCACCCCCTCCCGCAGGGCCAGAGGAGCCCCCAGGGACCATGCGAACTTCCCGCGCAGTGCACAGACGCCTTCCTTCCCGCTCCCTGGCGACGCTGCGGCCCAGGATCACCCCCTCCCCAGGATCGAGGGGCGCGGGCGGGAAGGCGGGCGCCGCATTGTTGGGAACTCACTTGGAAGACCAGCCGCGCCACTTGACCAGGTACTCCAGCTTGCCCTGCCGGGGGAGAGAGGAGGCGCGTGAGCAGGGGCGGGCAGAAGGGCGCGGGGCGAGCCGTGTGTGGGGGGGGGCGGGCCGTACGCACCTTGCGGAGCCGCTTGCTCAGGATGCACTCGGCGGCGAAGACCTGCTCGCCCACGCTGCTCAGCTCCTCCATGGTGCCGCGCGCGCGCCCGCCCGCCCGACCGCGGCGCCCGCCGCTCCCCGCACAGCCGCCGCACACAAAGCACCGCCCCCGCCCGCGCAAGGCCCGCCCCGCGCACGCGCGCCGCTGCAGCGCCTTGTCTCCGCGCCGCGCAGCGCCTCCGCCGGCTGTCCGGTCTGGCGCGGGCCAATGAGTGCGCGGGGGCGGGGCTTGGGGCGGGGCGCGCATTGTTTGCCGCGGGTTCGGCTTCAGGCGGGCGCTGGGGGTCTGCGCGGGGTCCTAAGCTGGCCTGGGCTTGGGTGTGGTGGGCACCGGCCCTGGGGAGTCTCCGGGCGCGGCGAGGGAGCTGCGTTCGTGGTCGCGGAGCGGGAGCGGGGGGTGTTTGCGGAGGAGGGGCTCGCCGCGCGGCTTGAGACCTGAGAAGTTGTCCGCGGAGTCCTGCTTGGACCCCGGGGTGTGCCCAGCCTCCTCCTAACTTCGTTTTGCAGGAAAAAAGCCATTGTTCTGGCCCGAAGGGGGAAGTCGGGCCCGAGCGCGGCGGTCGCTTCCTGCCCCCACCTCGGAGGGGCGCTGCTGCGGGGCGCGCCAGGCTCCAGCCGCCCTCCGCCTTTTTGAACTGGGTTTCGGGCACTCGGATTTTGCGCGGGAGCAAAAGGGCCGGGGGGCGGGGAAGGAATGGGAGACAAAGTACTTGCGGGGGAGCGAGGGGGGGTGGTGAGGGGTGGCGGGGGGCAGGGAGGGTAGCAAAAACAGAGCAGCCCGGCTTTTTTTTTAATCCCCAAAGGCGAGAAAGGACAATGCATCAACTGAAAATGCGCGCTGCTCCGTGTTTTTCACTTTTAGCTCCGAAGAGTGGAGTCCAGCCCCGGGTTTCAGGGCGCACGCAGGGAGAACAGGAACTGCGCCTTAATTCGTTTCACGATTTTGATGAAATGAGTGTGGCGGCGGGATCGAGGTTTCAGGCGGGGGTTCCAACCTCGGACTAACTCGTGGGCCCGCCGGGGTTTGGAAATCTGTATCATTTGGATCAATTGCACCCGGCGGGAAGAAGTTTGGAGTCCCTTTGGGGGTCCTTGGTGGCAGGCCGCCCCTTTTATTTTCTGCTGTTAAGATCCGTGTTGCATTGAGCAATTCCCCCTGAAGTCTTTTAGCTCTTGAATGTGAGGCAGTCAGGCGGATAATAAAGGAGATAAACATTAGCCGTACCTTTTTTCGCATCAATACCATTTACCTCAATGACAATTCACTTTCTGGTTTCGTGTCTTCCTGGAACCGCAGCTGCAAAAGGACTTCTCTGTTGAGCAAATGAAAACGTCGTTTCTCGTTGCGGCAGACTGCGCCTCAATATAATTTTGATCATTAAAACCACATTTGTAAAGGATTTTGCAGGAGAAGAGTATTTTGTCTTACCGGGAAGGCCTGCCATAGGAAATTCGGAAATGCGGGAGTCCGGTCTTTCCATTTCTGGCAGTTTTTCAGTTTATTTGGTTAAGTAGGTTACATTCATCTGATATCCTGGAAAGAATTTGGGGGATACCAGAGCAACTCTGGTATTGTTTGCAACTCCAGTATTGTTTGCAAGGGAGGCGGGAAGAAGGAACATTCGCTGGGGGTGGGCAGGAATGATTGCTTGCCTGGGAGGGGCTGCCAGCCCAGGACCCTCGTTTTGGGATGAGACCTGCACTCCTGCGGTGAGAGAGCCGCTCACAACCTCCACATCTCGTGTGGCTACGCAGTCCACTGTGGGGCTGAGGGCAGAGGTCCGTGTGTTGTCATCGGGCCAGTCGCTGGATCCGCTCCAACTCACGTTTCCCTGCACAGTCCATCTTAGGCGTGAGGTTTTTGCCGTAGAAGTTCCCAGTTTTCTCTCGGTGATGCATAGTATCCTGGAAACCTGCTTAATTTTTTTTTTTTTTTTAAGAAAAGAAAGCTTTAGCCCTGGCTGAAACGGCTCTGTGGTCTGAGTGCTGGCCTGCAAACTGAAAGGTCCACAGTTCCATTCCCGGTCCGGGCACGTGCCTGATTTGCAGGTGTGCTGCCAGCTGGGGGTGCACTAGAGGCAGCCAGTAGATGTTTTACACGTCGATGTTTTCTCCCTCTCCCTCCACGCGCTCTAAAAATAAATAAATAAAACCACTTTAAAAAGACAAGAAAAGAAAGCTTTAAAAGGGGATTTTTTTTTCTTCCAGAAAGTAATACATTTGTCTAGAATTTGATCATAACCCACTGGGGGAAAATCAGCTTCTTGGGATGTTTAGCACAGACATCATCTGTCCAACTATGGACACTCAGTTCGGATAAAATAATGTTTAGATAACTTATTTGGAGAAACAAATGTGGCCAATTGGAGTAGAATTCAATGATCAGATACAGAGGGCAGGGATATGACCCCAAACTTGGGAAGCATTCCTTAAAAACAAAACTGGAAGTAGGCAGAAGCGAGGAATAATTCCAGCTACACAACTGTGTCAAAGCGCGGGTTGGAGCTAAGGCAGACTCTGTCTTCTGTTTGAGTGTCGCATGGAAGAATTACTAAGACGAGTGAGAACCATGACTTATTCCATCAACAAAGTTACAGAGCATTGCTTTCACCGAGGCATGGCTAGAGAGGGTGACAGGTCTAGAGCGGCGGGGTCCAACGGGACTTCCAGAGGTGACGGGAATGTCCCTGCCCCTGTATTCTTCAACCTGACACAGAGATCAGATCAGAGCGCTGGGGAGGAGGAGGAGGGGCCGAGGGAGGAGTTTGGGGAGGCCAGGATGAGCAGCCCAGGATGGGATTGGTTGAGAAGCTGGATGCCTCTAGCGCGCGTGGAATAACAAGGGGGCTGCCCGTGGGCTGCTGGCTCTCTCTCCTTCCTGGAGGATGCCTGGGCGACCGAGCTGCAGCTGCCCCTGCCTCTCCCAGCGGGAGAGCCGCATTTTGGGTGGGAAGGCACTCCGGGCGCAGCCTGGGATGGGGCCGGCCTGGCAGGGGGTGGCAGGGCCATTCTCCTTTGGGTGCTCTAGACGGGACGGGCTCCGAGGCGGAAGCCTGCCATTCTCCCAAAATCGTGCAGCTTTTGTGTCTTACGTTGTTTTGGTTCGTAAACGCACCCTGTAGAAATAAGATAATTAAAAACGAATGGGGGAAATAATGGAAGAACTCAGGTGTTAAAAAGTTTCGTCTTAATTAACAGGTTTAAGTGATTAAAGCTGTGACTAAAGAGTTAAAGAGTTTAGCCTTAATTGATAGGCTTAAGTGACTAATGCGTGTGGAAAGCTGTTATTCCAAAATCGTGAAGCTGTTGAATAAAGACTCCTTTCCTTTCGCACCCTGGAGTTTGGCCTGGAGGGCGGCGGCGGGTGGCAGGACCCCGGTGGCTGTTCAGGAACAACCCATTCCCCACCAGCCATTTGTGGTTAGTGAGAACTTGAACCCTGGCCAGTGCTACTGAGAAACTGAGTTTTTAATTTTACTGAATTGTAAAATTAAATAGCCCCCATGGCAGAGCGGCCACAGACTAGACAGCCCAGACTCATGGGGACTCGAGGGATACACTCTAAACACATTTTAAGCAAAAGTAATGCAGTTTAATCCTGAGACGTGAGTAGTACACCCACATTTCCAATCGTGCTTTCCTGTACGGGGAAATACTGAAACAGGCACGGATTTTAAAAACGCCCCCCCCAAAGATGAAAAGTGCAGGCATGAAGGAGCACATCCAGGCCAAATACTGCATTTAACGCCACTTTCTGTGCAAGTATTAGCTCATCGACGTCTGAAATGCTGCCGAGGGAAGATCGGGGTTTTCATGCCGCTCTCTTGGACTCAAGACCGAAGATACTACTGAGGCAAAAACAATGGTATTGCGGTGTCCCTCCCCAGCCAGAGGGATTGGGACGAGGCCAGCCCCTCCATCTGTCAACCGTGGCAGTAAATCTGCACGGCAGTCACGCCTCGCCACAGAGTTTCGGGACAGCCCTCGGTGTGTCTGTCTGCTCACCGCAGCGCAGCGCGGGCTGGCCCAGGGGGAGGCGGCCCCACGCCCCGCCCCCCGGGGGCACCTCCAAAGTCTGCCCGCGGTCCACTCAGGATACAGAACACGTCTCGCAGTCTCTAGTGTTTGCTGGGAGGTTCTGTCCCCGCCCAGGTCCCCTCCCCTCTGCGAGACGGAGGTGTGAACTGCAGGCGCGCGGTGTTAACGCGCGCCCATTCTGAGTGGGTGACGGCTAAATATTAGACACACGTGACACGGTGTTTCTGTATCGGAGCCCACAGGAAAATGAGCTCGGGTAGGCTGCTGGCAGAATTCCTCAAGCTCTGTGTTTGCCTGGGACCTCCCCGGGCACGCAGGCACATACTGACCCCCGGGCCCCGTCCCGGGGGTCCTGACCCGGGAGACCCAAGAGGCTGTGTGCGGTGGACGCTGTTTGGAGCGCCTCACAAAGGGCAGCCTGTCCCAGCCCCTCGCTTCCAGACGAGGGAGAGGAATCCTAAATGGCTGCAGGTCCTGGAGCCGGTTCCTGGCGTTGCCAAAGCGTGCCTGGCGGGGTGAGGGGCCGGCACTCAGTGAGTGGGCCTTCTAGGGCGGCCTGCCTCCGGGAGTTTAGGGCACTGCTGGGCCCTCACGCCCTGCTAGGGCTGGGCCACCTTTGGTTGCTGGGGGCGGGAGGGGTTAAGGAGGGTTGTCAATAGGGGGCGGGAAACCGCCAATCAAGCGAGCCTTTTAGGGTGTTGTGCTTTGGAGGCCAGATCACAGGCTGCTGTGGGCCCCTCCACTGTCCCGGGCTGTTATCTGAGAAGGTGTCATTTATCAATTTCGCAAACATTTTTATCCCTGATGGCATGGCGGGTTTTTGACAATGGAAACACGGTGGTGTGAACATCGTCACTTTTGCATGTGCGCCGACCCGACGCGACCTCAGGGACAGCATGCCCAGGGGCCCGTTAAAGGGTGTGTGGGTCCAATCTTTCTGTGCCCTGTTGTTGCCAGCTGTCCCCCGAGGGGCGGCTCTGGCCCACACTCCCACCCTGGTCAGATGGGGTGGCCTCTGTGCCCCCATTCGCAGCCCCCCACCCCGCCCCCAGGAACGAGAAGTTCAT